CCTCATACCACATAAAGATCTGATTATTCCCTCCTTTTGGCTGGCTTTGCAGAGTGGACAGACAGTGGACTCTGTATTTTTTTTCCTCTGTTGAGCAGTGTGGACTCTCCTCCAGCCAGTGCCCAGCAATTTAAGGGAAGCTGTTGTTTTGGAGAGCCACTGTGGGAAAGTCATTAAAGTGTAAAGCATCTCTCTTTTATTTCTTTCTAAAGGAGTCCTAGAAGAGGCTTCCACTAAGGCGGTGGATGTTAATGAGTGCTGACACAGATCGGCCACCCCCACAGTGCCGTGTGTGCCGATAGCCGCTGCCATGGCAAACGGATTCTCTGCAAGAAAAACCAGCCTGCCGGACACTCACTGAAAATGGCTTCAACTCCTCCACAGGTGGCCAGTGTCTACATATACCAGCAAGCTACTAAATCAGGCCTTTTGTTCCTCCAGGAAAGTGCCTTTGACTCGCTGAGGTGGTGGTTGTTGGTCAGTACTGTGCCATGTGCTCCAAAGATCAGCTTGTCAGTATTTATTTACAGATGATCAACAGAATATCTGATACCCAAAACATGACTCTCTCCCCCCCCCCAAAAAAAGTGTCCTCTCACTAATCATGTCATCATTATTTCATGCAATATATAATTAAGTGGCACAGTAGACATTGCACAGGTAATCAGAAAAATACCTCTCATCCTTTCTCCGGTGAAATGACCCTCATTAACAAAGCATTACAAAGCCACAAAACAGACCTAACAACATGCTGCGATCAATGTACAAGTAGCAATTTGCACTGACTCTAAGGCCAGAAGATTGCCTGTACTGCAGAAACCCATGAGGGCAGTTCCCTTTTATGCAACCTTAACTGCTGCGTATAAAACAATTAGATGTGGCAAACACTGAAAAAATAAGCTGACATCAGTCTGATGTTGATTTCCGGAGTTTGACAGTGACACTCAAATGTAGAGCAGAGAAACCGGTCTGAAGCAGTCTGCTGGGGAGAGTGGTGTTTTTCATCGTCTGCATTTCTTTTAAAAAGAGGGGCCTCTGCTGGAATCAAGCGGTACCACATGTTGTTTACCAGCCATTTTTTTTGCACCCCAGGACATCCCAATACAGTATTCACTTGGCCCATTCTGTTCTGTAACCAGAGCATGTTAGCTGTCTCATTAAACATAATCCTTAAATACAGACTGTATTCTCACGAGACAACGGGGGTGCAGTGCTCGCAGAGCTCTAGAAAGCACGTGAATATCACCACAGTGTGTTATTTTGACTTGCATGACCCATGAGTTGAATATTTGCAGAGTAATCAGCCTTAAATATCAGCATACACACACACAGCACTGTTCTATTTTTAGTTTGTCTATTGATCTGCTTGGTTAAACAGTCGATCGCAGGCTAAAGGATAACATTCACAGAACAGTTCAAAGACCCATACCGGAGGTAAAGAGACACTGTCCACGCTGTGTGCATAGCAGCCAAGCATTACTGAAGCAAGTGAAAGCAGCATTGATTGGCTTTGTTAATGGCTGGATATAGGAGAGAATGATTGAATTGACTGCTTCTGCGCTGATGCTTTTCACGCGCGTTCTGCTCGTCACTAGAGTTGATGTGCTTTGTTTTGTTCTTCTTCCCAGTACTGCGCCGTGCTCCTACTACTGTGTACGTTTCCTTTTTGCCAGGGCCCACGTAGATTTGTGAAAAGCCAGGTTACGTAACAGCCCCGGCCACTTGAATATGCTGCCATTTACTGGGGGGTGAATGGAGGAGTTAAGAACAGCAAGGGAGCCATTGTCAGGGTCATTGGTATGCAGAACACTGCGGCATTACTATTAGGACCCTCGTCAGTTTTGATGAAAATCTGCTGTATCTTTGCCCCCTGATCTGTGAGGCGCTTTCTTCTCCGTGTCGCCCTCGGACTATTCCTGTTGGAGACCAACTGAAACAGCCAGGCAGTCACGAGGCCCGCCCATACAATGCACTTGGAGAACCAAAACAACCTTATCATATCAGCACTGCGAATAAAGTCAACTCTGATATGTTTTCACGTTAAATCACACGTTGAAAGGTACTCAGTGCACAATCTTCAGTAAACACTTGACTTGCAAGGTTGCACAAGGCCTGAAGTATTTTCACAAGTGCAGCAAAGGACTAACTGAACCTTTGAAGGTGGCCACACAGCAGCAAAAGTCATCATTTTCTCCTGCATTAAACCTGATTGCTTTATATTCTGAAAGAGCAGTCTGTGATATCATTATTGACATGGAGAATAATAAGAATTCAACATGCATTTTCATCCTTATGAAAATAACCACCCTCCTGGTTCATTTTAGTCTAAACACAAGGGTTCACCCATCTCCTCCATCTTCCCTCTCCTCCCTCCCTGTCTGTCTTTTGGAAGCGGAGCGAACTGGGTTAGGGTTATATAACCGATGTCTGTTCTCATAGATCCTCAGCAGCTCGTCTTCCCCTAATCTTTTCAGCTTGATTACACCCTCCTTTCCCTCTCCTCTGCCGACTCATTCAACTGAGAGCCTTCCCATGCACAAGCACGTCCACGCGGGAGCGCACGAGCAGTGCATCAGGATCCGCCACACTCCGGTTTGGAGCGGATGGGACGCTTGTTTTTTGCAGGTGTGAGCATGAGTGTGTGCAAAAGCTGTTTTGTCGCTGTGCCACATCTTGTCATGATGAGGAAGAAGACGAAGGCTTCGTCTGAGGTCAGCTGTGTATGCTCAGCAGTCCTGCCTCGTTTTAGCATCACTAACAATCAATATTGGTCTGGTTGATGTTTGTGAGGGGAAACAGTTAAATTTTTACTGTGCACTCTTAATATCTGACATACCAACACACAGCGGAGCTGAAAGAAAGCAGCTGGCAATGAATGTGTTCTCACAGTTTATCGCAGTGGATGTAAAGTGCAAACAAAGCAATGTTTCACAATGTGCCAACATTTACTACCACTTGTTTACTGCGTGCCTCTGCTTCTATGAATGTTCTTTCACTTCAGCTTTCTGACAGACTTTAGACATACTGCTTTATTCTGATACAGCAAAAATCAGCAGTCACAAGGTACACATGCAGGATGAAAAAAAAGAAGAAAGAAATCCAGGTCACAGGCTGAAGGCGGTGTGTCTGCTAAGGGTGTTTATCATTACCCCTAATCTGGTACAAAGCACTGATGCAAAATCTGTCCAAGAATTATATCTTGATTTCAGCAATAAGGAAGACTTCCTTCTTGTACTGTGGAGCTGTAAAACCACTATCTGGCTGGTGATGAAAACCCCAAATGAAAATGATCCACTTTTTATAGCCTCCCCATATTACAGTGGACATTGACTATGTTGAGGAAATCACGGCTTTAATCACTATAAAAATGACTTTAAAAGCAGTCTGTGTGGACACAGGTGAGTTCAAGGGTCAAAGGGCGATATCCATTTGGTTTTTTTTCATGGCATGTAAGCTGAACTAGTGCAGTTAACGTGACCGTCCCATTCCTGAACTTTGCCCCCACAGGCCATAAAAATGTGAATATTCCTACTCAGCCTGCAGCTTTGCCACAAACCCATTCACCTTCAAAAGGTGGTAAATCTTCCAGCCTTCAGGTGGATAAAGGTTTAACGTGTTATACAAACCTCTTCACTCCAGGCCAAGAGGCAGAAGATGGTGGGAACATGTTTGACAGAGGTCCGAGGGAAATGTTTGGGACAACATAAACCTGGAGTGGTTTTCATGTTTTTGCAATATACCAACTGTTCTGCCGCAGGTTTAATCACAGAATCCCATTATACGCAGTCGATGCGTGACTGACACGGCGTCTTGGCCGAAGTCCTCGTCTGGTTCATCCAGTAACTGTGACCAGCCTCAACCAACCATCTGCTGCTTCAAACTCTTTCCAGCACTTTACCTCACTGTCACTGTAAACGGATGTGTCGGTGCATCGGGCATCATTCGAAATACATTTATTAGAAAACCAAAGTATAACGAGATTTTTATATTTTTGCTACATACTAATGCCTCAAAATCTCTTTAGGGTTTCATTAGTGGTGCTGCCAACCCAAGACTCACTGTATCAGGAATTTAGCAAAGGTATTGAGTCGCTTTTGGAGTCTGAGGAAAACATCCTGGGTCCATTTTGTCATCTGTGAGCTTCCACGGAAAGTAGAGCACCCCAGATTTATGCCTTGATCATCCTGTGTGTACAAAACGGGAGTGGGGGCAAGCGATGGTCTGCTACCCTGATTAGAGATAATTATCAGGTGAGATTGCCAAAAACAGTTTCTTGTCACGTTTTCATACTCTTTCTAGGAATACGATGGAGACTGCAGACATTTGTGACAGCTTCCTCTACTGATCTTTGAATGCCAGTAATTTTTATGTGGATTCAAATTCGCTTAAATATAACCCACTATAAGACTGGTTAGTGTGATTCCCACAGGAGAGGCTTGTTATGAGCGACTGACATCTCTTGGCTTGTTGTAAAATGACAGCCGCTTTTCTGTAACCTCACTGAAATGCATACATGTGGTTCTAGCGACCTCCAGTGGTAGCAGCTTTGAGCGCATACGCAAACACTTAGCGGAAGAGCCAGATGGACCTCATATGGAGTTCTTCACTCAAGGCCATCTTGATGTAATGTGTTCGGGTAGATGCAACATTTCTGGTTCTTCACAGCAGATTTTCAGCCAGGCTGCCTGACTGAAACACTCAGTTATTCAATCAATCAGTCAACTGACAGAATCTAACCACAAAAATGGTAAATAACGCAAAAGCTTGCAGATTTGACCCCCTGTTCTTTACCAGCGTAATTTGGGTGTCTTCAGGCTTTGCACTGCTGCTGGGAAAAATAAAACAAGCAAAGAAACTGGGGTGGACACTCACCTCTATTTTCAAATGTGCCATAAACTTAAAAAAAAACAAAACAACAATTGTTATAATTAGTATATTAACAGTAATGCAGGTCATTTTTTAGTGGAAGAAAACTGCACAAGAAATATAAACTTGAAAAGTATTTTTTACAGAAAGAGCCTGTTTTATTTATGCCTTTTGAAGAAATCACATTGGGTTAGGAACCTTTAAATTAGTCTTGACAAAAATATTCTATCCTTTACATATTTTTTTGTTTAACATTTTCTATAGGTGCTACACAATTTAAAACACACAGACAACATTAATCATTCACATCAGGGTGTTTGCTTTCCCGTAACCCATTTTCTGAACATGCAAAATTAAGCTTGACACTCTAATTTGGCATCAGAGGCGAACTCTGAAGGAACACCAACTGGCTTTTTTTAAAAAATGTCAAACAGTGTCTGTTTGTCTGTATGTATGCAACTGCTACCTCATACAGACTTCTGAGAACATCCTGCATGCATTTATAACACAAAAAAACACAAAATCACTGAGTCTTTCTTAACAATGCTGAATAGAAATCTGGAGCCAAACAAAGGCTTTCTGCAGAAAACTGCTGTTGTGCACTTTTTTATAGCCCTCATTAGTTTGATCCTGATATCTCAGTCTAAGGCAACTTTTCCTTTCAAAGGAAATCAGGGGTTGAATGTCTACTAGGCAGATTTAAACTGACACGAAGCCATCACAGTGACGGGGAACAGATGCATTTTATATAATTGGAATATCTAAACTTCTTGGCTTTTCAGTGCTGTCAATGTTAGGTCCATAGGAGGAAAACATCTCCTGTGAAATTCCTTTGTTCACATTTAGAAAAGATGCTCTTATAGCACTCTAAAAAAGTAATGAAATGCACGCTGAGTAAGAGGAGAAAGAAATCCTTGCTCTGACTGGATTATGCATTAGGAACTATCGATTAAAGCTCTGATCAACATGACCTTAAACTGATGGGGTTGCCTTCGATTAAAAGTTTAACATGTCATAAACCCGCCAGATGAAAAGAGAGAAACATAATATTCACAGCATTGATGATGGTATTCGTTACATCAAACTACAGAAATAATGACTTCAAACAACACTGTATATAGTTACACGTGTACACATTGCAATTGGCTATTGTGTGGTGCAATCCCTTTGCATTTCAAGGGAATATTGCTTTGGCACATGTATGACCTATAATAGCTTACACCCCCAAAACAAGCTGAGCACTGAGCATGGCACACAAAATGCCAAATGTTATTAAATGCGTTTCCGTCCAGTTTAGCTACTGACCTTTCACGTGTAAAGTTTTCAGAAGAAATAAATAATCAGATGTTTAGTCTTTTTTGTTAGTTAGCCCTCTAAAGTCACTGCTGAGAGTTGAGGTTTCCATTAATCAGAACAAGAGTGAAAAAGAGTGTTTAAGGTTTCAGACTCTTTGACTTCTTCATGAAATCAGTTCATAATGCCCCACATTAAAAACAAAGACCTGTAAGAAAACGACACGAGAGAGGTAGGAATTTAAATTCCGAAACCTTTGATCCACAAATACTTGCATGCTATTTACCAGTTGGCACGGCAAGAAAGTAAATAAATGAATAAATAAAAGCATAACTTTTGACACCTTTTCACAACCAGAAATATGGCAGTACGTAAACTAGAGAATACAATCACACCCAGCAGCCCTTCTGCCCAGAAGGATATTTACACTGCTAGCATAGACTAAGAGTTTCTGCCCTGCTAGGTGACCACTTCTTCACGTGGTAGATTGAGCTTCACCTCCCCTCCTGCTGCTGCGGAGGTTGAGTAGACTGCGGTGGCAGAAACACAAGACGGCCCGTTTGTCTCCATGGTGAAGAGCTTGCAAGGTCCCGGCAGGGCTGCATCAGCATCAGGAGCCTCCTTTTCTGAGCTGGATGCCTGGGATGATGCAGGGGAGGATGTGGGGCTCAGCTGCACAGCTGTAGTGTCCTGCAGTGTGTGCTCGCTGGTCTCTATTTCAAACGCTGCCCCGCCAGCCAGCCCGCCGTGTCCCATCAAGCCAGCCCCTCTGCCCCCAACCTTGGACCTCCGTGAGCTGTGTGGAGGCGGGAGTCGACTGCACACGCAACACGCTCCGAAAAAGGAAAAGGCCACCAGCAGCAGGATAGGTCCGATGATGATTGGGGGGTTGGCAGAAGGCATCAGTGTGCTGAAGGCGAATGCTCCCACCAGGGTGATGTTGAGTCCAGCCAGCATGATGCATAAGCCACAAGCACAGCAGAGTGCCGGAGAGGGCAGACCATGAGGGCGAGACTTCCTTTTCTTCTGGGGCTCCTTTTTAGGCACAGGGGTGCCGGCGTTTCTATCAGCGATGACCATGGTTTCCCCTCCAGGCTCTCTGGCTTTCTATCTTCTATCTTTTTGTAGATACACAAAATAAAGGAAAATAAGCTTTTTTAAGTCATTACAATGGCACTGGTGTGCACATGTAGAAAAGCTCTGTCAATCAGTGAGCTTTGATCTGTCACCTCATTGCGCTGCTACACCTACAGAATACAGATATGAGAACAGATTCTAAAAAGTTGAGTGAGCAGCACTCAGGTAGTGGTCATCTATTGGTGACACCTGCATAACATGTGAAGACAGCTGGCCACTGAAATCTTCCTAAATCAATTACACTTCTGTTTAAAAAAAAAAAGGATCTAAACAGCACCTGTACAACAGCTGCATGGACGGGCAATTCACTCTAGATGGCCTAAAATAAGCTCCGTTAACAAAAAAAGGGAAGCATGAGCCCATTAAGAAAAATCCTCAGTGGTACTTAATAACATGTCTTTAAGATGCATCCCTATTTATTTTCTCTTAAACTGTGTACAGTCACCGTGCAGCTGCTTCATTCATGCCACCCAAGCCACTAGAGGAAAGGCTGTGAGTGTTTAGTTGCAATCAAATGAGCCCTTTCATTCCAGCATGCGCCCATTGAAGAGCAGACAGGAGACCTAAGCAGAGGGAATGTGTGAAAAATATATTTTTGTAAATATGTGTCTGTAAATGACACATTTACAGACCGTTAATAAAACAGGTTTTGCTTGAGAGGCGTTTAAATGCGCCTTTACTTCCACTGATGTTGCATTTCTGCAAAAATTAAACCATGAAAGAAGGGGGGGGAGACACTCACCCTTTAGGTTGATGCACTGAAGGTCTTTCCATTGTTTGATCAGCAGATTTTCACCGCGGTTACCGGTCTTCTAATTAAGGGGCGAAATAACGCTGATGACGCTGAAAGGGCGAATCAGCACCAAACGAACGATTTTCATCCTGTTCTCGTGGCTTCACAGTCCTGAGGGCACAAGTCATGAAAGCCCTTCAATCACTGGCTCAAGCAAACACACACGTACAGACACACATACACGCGCACACACGATTCAAGGCGACCGACAAGATAAAATCCGAGAGTGGAAAAGAAGAAGAAGAAGAAGAAGAAACAGGCAGAAGATCACTTAGGTGAAATGGCATTTCTTAGGAGCAGACACGCAGACACACCGCGCGCTGCTGCTCCAGATGTGGACCGAGCAGCACGTAACACCTGACAGGTCAGCCCGAACCGGAAATGGTGTTCCAGACATCTCTGTCTGTGTGAAGCTGTCATATTTTCATTCATTCATATCTGAACTGAGCATATTCCCTCCGTCGCCAGACCGCTGGATGCGAAGCTCGTTCCCGAGCCACCCCTGTGTGCGCGAGTGCGCAAGTGGAGGAGGGGGTGATGAAGGTGAAAGCTGTTGCTCTCTGCCTTCAGCCCACACCGCAATGTTGCTGATTCTTGAAAAAGGAAAAGGATTTTAATTTATTCCACACAGCTCTCTCGAATATAATTTTTTTTAAATCTAAAATTATTATTTATTTATGCTGTGTATTATTTTATAATATAATTCAATATGAATATTTTTCTGTTAAAATATTTATTTATTTAATATTATAATAATAATATAATAGAAAAATAGAAAACATATTATATTCATTCATTTTGTATTATTTTATGTAGCTATTTATTATTTTACTATAATTCAATATGAATATTTTTCTATTAAAATATTTATTTATTTGTTTATCTATTATTTTATATTATAATTTAATAGGCAAAAATATTGTATTTCTTTATGTGACTATTTGTTATTGTATATTATTTATATGAATATTTTCTATTAAAATATTTATTTGTTTATTCATTTTGATCTTTTTTTGATCATGTAGCTCATGATGAAGATAATGATCCAGTGTCTACATTGTTGGCTATCAGCTTAACTGGTAATAAATCGAGGATAGCTATTATTGGACCAACTTTTGGCTTGCTGTGGTAAAAGATGAGTCATCAGAACTCAAAAGGGTCACGACCTTTGCAGTAAGTCAGCTAGTTTGCAGCTACTGAATCTATACATGACAGCAAAAGTGTGTTAGTAACAAAACAGTCCTTTAAATGTTTTAAAATGGTTTAAACCTTCTTGTTGCCACCCAGGTTATTTACTTATCCTGTAAAATATGGACTATATTTGTGTATGCAGTTCATTACATGCTCCTCCACTGTCTAACTCCCAGACACAGGGGGATTGTGGTGTTGTGATTTGAGGCTTGACAATCAAGCTGCACCGCAGACTCCTCGGGGCTCCTGTTGTGCACAGCTCATGAACACAGCTCGGCATTATTCAGCCTCACAGCACGTTACACTTTTTTTGTTGCGCTTTCTCCCGGTGCTGTCCTGAATATCAATGTATTACGTTTCACTGCGGAGGGGGTGGGTGGGTCGCAGGTCACTGTGTGCACGCCATGGATGTTGCCACGTGTGTGTATGTGCATTCATTTATTTGTGTGTGTGCTACTCATGGAAATTACAGGCAGGGGAATTGAACAATATCCAAAACCCATCATCGCTTAATGAGTGTCATAATTTTATAATTGGTGGCATAGAGCATTGTACCATGATTAGAGGAGCTGCACAGGAGTTGGACTATTGGGCCTAATTTGCTTCACTCAGTGTCAGGATGTAAAATAGGAAACAAAACTCCACTAATGATCACAATCTCTGGATGTTTATTAGATGACATGCTGTTTTATATATATATATATATATAATGAGGTGATCTCAGCTAACATGATGAGCTGATATCACAAATGAACAGGAAAACGAGATTTATAAAGATCTACACAGCAGAGAGATTTACACAGCAGTACTATTTTGTACTAAGTGTGAAGGAAGATCAATACAGAAAAATTAAGCTTCTTCTGCAGAAGTTGCAACCTTCTGCATCCGGCTTCCTTCACATGGAGCGGCCAGTCTTGCTACGTGATGACCTCATGGCAGATCTTGATCTGAAGGTTTTAGTTTCCGTCTCGATAAGACATCCGGCATGTCCGCAGAAGTCCTGCAAAAGACAGACGGATCAGTCATGAGGGAAGCTCGCGTTGTGTTCGCTGAACTAAAACCTTTTCCTTGAGATAACTGAGATTTTAGATGATCTGCACTACGTAATCCCTCATCTGTTAAATAACTGAGCCAAACAGTGCATCAGTGTGTTATCTGGTTTGTTTTTCTTGTTTAAATGAGACTATAGTGCTGAAGTGTGACTTCAGTTGTCTGGCTTTCAAGATGCTACACATTGAAAAGTACTCTCTTTCACAAATGTCAGTGAAGACCTGAAAAACTGCTTCGTTTTGAAGGTCAGTGCAGACTCTGCTGTCTGTTTGTTGTCACACAGGACAGCACATGAAATGCATGATGACATGATTGAAATATATGCGGTAGCGCCATTGCCATAGTAACAAAATTAAAAGTGAGTGACTTTGAAAAGGAGGTGATACTTGGTAATGTTCACTTTCAAAAGCCCCCCATTCTCCTCTAAATTGCTTGTAGTCAGCCAACAAAAAGCCCCACGTCATTATGTAAGGCGTTTTGTTGATTCTTTTCTTGACAGTTTGGCTATGGTTTAAAAAAAAATGTCTTTAACTCTCAGAAATAATAAAGGTAACCCTTACCTGTCTGGATAAACCTAGTTATAAAGTCATTCAAATGGAAAAGTAGAGACTGAAGTGCTGAAAGGAAGACAGCATTCTCTAAGTAGCGCATGTCATCAGAGTGAGACTGTCACATAGTAACATTTCAGTGTTTTTTCTCGATGTTACTTTAACACCTTAGTGTTTATATTGTAATTTAAAAAAAAATAGCAAACAGTTAATTAATATAAGGCATAAAGAGCAACAAGAACTACCAATCGGACGACATAGCAGATCTGTACATATCAAGATTCTGAGTAAAGCCCACGATAGTACTGCATGTGAGATATACTGCACTACTATGGAGTTGCTGGCTTGTGTATTATCACAGCTCTCAAAGGTTTTTGAACTTTTTCCAAGATCCATTCATGCCCAGATTAGATTTTTATAAGTCTATCAACACGCTGACTAGTTTCTGCAAAATGTGATTCATACTGCAAAGCTTAGGAAATTAAAAGTACTCTTATATCCAGGAAACATAGCATTACAGTCACAGGAACTATATTCCAGATAAGGTATATTGAAATGCCTTTCGGGTGTACTGTGGTACCATTCACATCCTTATTTTGATCATGTATAATTATCAAAGGAGACAGACCCCTCATCCGGGTTGGCTTCAGCTATTGTTCCAGCCTCCACAAAGGTTCCCATACGACTCTTAGACCGTTCCAGATTAATCTGACTGTGAGTCCCTGGTAGGACAACAAGAGAGCATGGAAGCATTAAGTGTAACAGTACATGTTTAACTAGCACGTGAAACAATGAGCACTAGATCAGAAGGGTTATACAGAGGGAAAAACACTTATTTGGATTGTATAGTCACATATATGTATATAACATGGGCCTTAACAATTAAGGCAGATAGTTTTAAATGAACGCTTAACTTAAACTAAAAAGACCATAACAGATACAGGTGTGGTTAAAAGTTTACATACATTCATTCACTCCTCATGGGCATGAATATCATGGTAGTTTGGGCTTTTAATGATTTCTTTGAATTGTTCTTTTTCCAGATTGGAATGATTGTACAGCATACATGTACTTTTCAGTCGAGCTTGAAGTTGATGATTTTGGACCCGGGGCTTCTTTCTTGGTCACCACTCTCTCAGTCCATGTTCTCGTAACACTCACTTCACTGAACAGTAACACTGGTGTTCCAGCAGTTTCCAGTTCCAATGTTGACACATCCAAATAACTTGCATTTATGAAAATTGCTTGAACTGATTATGTTGGAATCTGCGGTTGTCTAGAAATCACTCCAAGAGACCTTTTCAACTTGTGTAAATCTACAATTCTGCTTCTTAGATCTTCACTGAGTCCTTTGGACTTTGGAGTGAGTGCTATCAAACAAATACATTTTAAGCTGGCAAAGATGATCATGATCATGATGACTACTGAGAAGTAAACAGACCTTGGCCTTGTCAAGTTAAAAGACAGTGCGCATGAAAACCTATGCTCATAAGTGTAGGTATAAGCAGCTCATCTAAGTGCAAGAATATAGCTTCAGAGAGGGAATTTTAGGACGGGAATGCAGGCATTCCTGAATTTTCCTGTGATTTTGACCTTCACATATGATTTCAATAAGTTTTAATATGCAACATTTAACTCAAACTGATAAAACGAAACAAAGACACATAATTTGCAAATGTTTCACTCAGTCTGGTAATAGTTTCCATGTTTGAAGTCAGCATGTCAAAAACATGAACCTACTTTCACTGGAGCACAAACATGCACAGATGCACAGTTGGCTGCACAGCGCTAAAACTGTATGCAGACAAACGTTTCCCCTGGCTCATATTTGTTAACAATTAAGTGGAAAAAAAAAGCAGTTAGGAAAGAAGGAAATTATATTATTTTTTTTAAGCGCACTCAGTGAGACATTAGACAGATGGCTGAAGCGCTATCTCTGATAACAGCCTGAGCACAACATCTGCCTCGCTGCTGTCAACTCTGCAGTGTTTCTACAGGTGTCTGAGTTTTTATCAAACAAATAAGGCGCATAGACTCAATGCAGATCAGTATCAAGTGCCTTTGAGTGTTATACGATAGCATTATTAACTCACTGGCTCGCTCCTTCATTTCACCCACCTTCTCGTCTCAGTGTCTCAACTGGCTGATCGGGAGCAGGATTGGCAGGCGCGGGGTGCACTCTGAAGTTCGCTGAGGATTTTAGCCAAAATGCCTTTTATTGTTATCGTGAACACACTTACAAATAATAGCATTAAAAAATATACAGGTATATATCAAACTGCTTACGAAAGGATGGAAGGATGTGGTTGATGTTCAGCCAAGCTTTTATGAAGGGGTAGATTGCTATTAGCAGGCCTGGAAAGCACAACAGTCCAATAAATTTATTAATTAAGGCCTGGCTTTACTCTAGTTCCCTTATGGTTGAAAAGCAGCAGATTTACTGCAGTGTTAGTGCAGATAACTGTCACCACGAGAGAGGAAAGCATTTGGTGCTGCAGATGCAATGAGAAGCTTCATTAAAAATGGGCATAAATTGTAATAGTGTATTAAAAAATACAAATTCAATCACCTGCATGGACTAATTCACACCAATCAGTGTAATTTATTTTGTTCAGTTGTTTGAAATGCAATCTCACTGCCTCCGGCTCCCGTGAGCCTTAACGGCTCATAAAAATAACAGTTTTTAATAGAAGTTTCCATACTTGGAGACTTTGCGGAGAAACAATAAGGGTGTTTGATGAAATATCTATTCCCAAACTGAAATCCACTCGACAAAGCCTTAAGATTATTCTCAGCGCAGCAGCTACAGTGTGCGATGTTTCGTTCAGTTCGACTCAAAGTACAAAGTAATATCTGAACCGCTGGGCTCGTGTGCCTCTCTGTGGCACTGCGCTCCAATTCAAACGTTATTGATTTCCCTCTATAAGCCAGAAGATCTGGCATTACACCCCCGGCAAGTCCTGAGGGTGGCTGTGATGCATGTTTGTGCTTAAAATGTCATGAAACTGCGGAAGGAGTGAAAACAATCTGCTGAGAACACTCTGTTCATACTCATTAGTCAGCCTATGTGTTGGAGGCAGCATCGCAGCACACAAGCCCCAAAACACATAATTAGATGCTACTCAGCTGCACAAATGCTGCCAAAGCGAATGTTTCTGTCAAGTGGCTGTGCGCAGTGTTGATTTGTCAGATTCTTAGCGCACATTACAAAGTCAAATTTGTTACTGAAAGATGATCAACTCATCAGAAAGGATGTTTTTTGCATTAACTATGCATGCACTCTGATGCCGTCGTCCTGTGATTGAAAACCCTGCCCTTTTGCTCCTTCTCTCCAGGAAACCAGTAAAGACACTCCTTTATCTTGGCAGCCCAGTTCCTCTGGCTATCAGCTGGCTCCAGTTACAGTGCTGTATCAAATGAATGAGGGATAGAAAACTGACACTGACCGCTGATCTTTCACCTGAGTTTTTGACATTTCATTTAAAATGGATATTCCAGCAAGATATAAATGTGCGCTCCCTCACTTTTTTGGCCTTCTTGAATTGGATTTTTAGTGAATTAACAAATTAACTCACTCACAAAGAAATGCACTGTGTAATAATCTCTCCGGTGATGCACCTTAATGTTTAGATACAACTATTCCCTAAAATCTTCTGTTTAACCTCTTAATATGCAACGTATCACTGGTAAACCCTCCCGGGCCAGGGTTGGATTTTATTTTAGCTACATGCTACATGTTAAATTAGAAAACCGCTGAAATGTTGCATTTTAAATTTTGGCACTACAGTTTTTCTTTTAACGGCTTTTCCCAGTTGAGCCTCATACACAAACAGAAACCAATATATCGATCGGACTCTACCTAACACCACATGGGTCACCATACGACCAGGTAAGCTGTTAAAAGGTTAAAAAAAAATGTGAAAGCCACAGAAATAGAGCATAATAAAATACACTGTATGGTAATAGCAGAAGTTTTAGCATCAAAAACTGCTTAAAGTACCTGAAGTAAAACTACTAATTTTGCAAAACCTTAGCCAATATTATTGTGTTAATAATGTGTATTAATATGTATCAAATGATGTGTATAATACGTTATTTTGGGGGGCACAGAGAAGGCCAAACATATCATATGTGCTCTCTCAAAAGAGTGCAGTTGGAGTTTGTACTCAGTTATAAATTTCTTGCATGAACCTCTGTTGTATGAAAGTTCAGGGCATCAGTGCATGAGAGACAACAGATCTGTCATGACCTCCTGAAAAATGTCATAAGTTAAAAGTTACACACAGCAATAGCAAATAGCAGGTTTAATAAACAAATGTAATCCAAATATCCAGAATCAGCTTATTACCCTCCCTATAACTGCATCACCTAAAAAATCTTAAGACACACTCACCGAGGCCCCCCGCTCCCAGGAAGATACCTCCGACTGCATCAGCATCGCATTCCCTGGATACCCCAATGATGATGCAGCCCGCCACAATGCTGAGCAGGGCTGAGCCTACCCGTAGCCCGTGGTACTCTCCGGTGCTGACAGGGTTCATTCAGCACGTGGATGCTCCCCACCTGCTCCCCCCACCACATGCACTGAGGAGCCCCGACACTGTGCTCTGCTTTAACTTGGGCCCTCAACTTTAATGTCCCCGAGCCTCACCCCGCGTCGTCTTTCACTCTCAATGATGCAGAAACACTTTCTCTAGTTAAGTCTCAGTCGCTATATTCTGTTTCTTAAGATACCTCATGCATCTTTAAAGATAGAGCTCTGGTTTCCATTGACATAGAAAATTAGAAAACTAGTGGCTCTGACTCTTTTGACAGTGAAACCCATGCTACAAATCTGATTATAGTCCTCCGGCATCAAGTATCAGGGCTGCAGCAAATACCCTAATTGCAATTCTCAAACTGTTAACAAGTCTTGTAGAGTTGCAATGTGCTGAAACTTAAAGGCGAGGTATGGCAGCATGACTACAAAGGCAGCACAGAGGAAACTGTGACAGAGAGACAGTTAGATTACGCTACTTGTCTGATTTGCCTGTGAGCTTGAAGGGAATGTGTAATGAAAGGTTCAGAGAGTTCTCCATGTGGTGGGGGCCCGAGGCCATCCACAAAGGCATGCAGTTGCCATAGGAATAGCATATCCATGGCAACGGGGGAGGAAGGGTGGGTGGGGGGTTAGAAGGATTAACACCGGTGAGTTGGGTAACAAATGAGCATACTGGGTGGAAGAGAAAGTGACACATTTACTGTTAAGAAAGTAAACTCCATCTTTTCTGGATGATTGCATGTATTTTTAATCAATGCTGGTAATGCGGTTCCCGTGTGTGTGTGTGTGTGTGTGTGTGTGTGTTAGTGACACAGCAAATAATGGCTGACAATAATGACTCTTGACAGCCTTTGTGGTATGTCAACCTTTAAAATCAAGCTAACTTGCAAGGAGCTGCAAATCCCCAGGAGTGAACCAGCCTTCCGAAGAGATTTATCAAGTCCTTTGGGGTCATCCGTCCCCAAACAGACCAGAACATAAAAATGCCACATTACACCAGAGACTCATGAAACATCCCCATCATGGTGTCGCAGAAACTGAAGGAGCACTTCTGAAGGACAGAGCTGTAGTTTCTGCTCAAGGTATTTGTTTTTTCATGCTGTGCCCCAGCAGAAAGAGAAGCACTAGAAGTCCTGAATCTCCTGCTGTTTACAGATTCTGATGGGCTAACAAACTGAATAATAATACAGAGTCCTGTATACATCTGATCATTCATTGTGGAAAATAACCACAATTGTCCATGTATTTCTTTTCTGATTATACAATTCACAGAGAGGTTGGGGCCAACTGAGCTCTTAGAGGGTGAAAGGCCAGGATACACTATGGACAGTGTTGGGGAGTAACGGAATACATGTACCACCGTTATGTATTTAAAATACAAAATATGAGTAACTGTATTCCGTTACAGTTACAGTTTAAAAAGGTGGTGTTCAGAATACAGTTACTTTGTTGAAATAAAGGGATAACACAGCGGTCTTTTCCTGTTTCATATGTTAGGCCAGACCTTCCCAAAGTGTGGGGCCCGCCCCCTAGGTGGGGCACAGAGGCATTGCAGGTGGGGGCTCGGCATCAAAAGGGGGAAAAAAACAAAACAACGCTTGGACACTGCTAGCACGGGGCGCATACACAAACGCAAAGCAGGAGATGAAGCATAGAGGAATATGTTTCCAAACCAACTTCATTCTAAGCCAAAGACTAGAAAATATGGTGAAGCAAGTGCCAAGGTAGGTCTCCCCTGCAAAATTGGTTTTCCCTTAGTCTGGAGCATCGCTGGGCTGTTCAAATCATGGACAAACAGCATCCCACATTCTTGATTTTTAGTTCACAAACACTTCTTGTGATGACTAACTACTCCTGACATTTTGGAGATGTTAGCTCTTTATACAGTAAAGTTACAGCAGGATACAAATAACATCAGGCTGATCCTGCCACGATTTGTTCCCCCTGTTTAAATCACGGACTAACAGTATCCCACAGCTGTTTATGTTTTTAAACCCATTTTGCACAGAGAGGCGCACAGCTGACGTGAAAAAAGGCACACACCTTTGACGTTGAGTGACAAACTCTGTATTCCTCGTTGACAGTAAACGCAAAAAATGAGTTTTAAAAAATCTCCATTTTCGGTGATTCGAAACGCCGTTTACGTGTGGACAAAACAGCTGCGTTTTCAAAAATACCCGTGTAGGTGCGGACATAGCGTAAAAGAGTTAGTAGTTTATTTCCTTACTGCCTGCAGATTACTTGTATTTGCTTAATTGTTTACTAAATGTTTGAGGTGTGAAATAAACAGCAATTGAGCAAAATATGGGTGCAAACATTTTTCTTGTAAAACAAAGGGGGGCCCCTCTCTATTTTTTGTAATTCCACGCCGGTGGAAACCCAAACAAAACACGCATTAAGAGGCTCAAATGCCTGTGTCTTGTGTCTCATAATGATGTGAAGAAATATTTTTTAAAATGATTTAATATGAAGGCAATAGGCAGAGTGTTACAGGCATCGCCCTAAAGAATGTAGCCTCACGGGCAGTGTAGTCCGTGCTGCAGGGAGAATGGACTGCCATGCCCGTTATGTGTCTGTGAGCGTGAGGGAGGGAGAAAAAGGAGAGTGGAAAAGTACGAGCTGTCAACGAGCAGAAATGGGAGCTGGAAGCATGTAAATATAATAATAACCACTGCAGCCAAAAAGAGTGCCTGAAGAACCCCGTTGTAAGTAAGCTATTAAGGCTCGACTGTACGCTGTGTTCGTGGTTTCCTCCGAAACAATAAGTTCCGCTGGAGCAGCCTTTCAACTCCTCTCTCTGTCTCTCACTAGCAAAGTTGACCCAGACAACAAAGTAAAGCTAGTTTTTGCCCGACACGGAACCCACGTATTAGCCAGAGGTCTCTTTACTACGGTTCGGAGCCTCGGAATAATTTTCTATATGAGATCGCTGCAAAAAGCGCAGCCTTACCTAATGTCCACCCTACTGTTACTCATTTTATATTAAGAGTTAAAAATCTAGTTGGTATTGGTATGGCGAGTAACCTTCAGTAATAGTAATAAATCACACAGCAATAGTACATTCATGTAGTTGTAAAGAAGCATGATAATATATTAAGTAATCCAAAGTATTCAGAATACATCACTCTCATTGAGTAACCTAACGGAATACGTTACAAAATACATTTTGGGGCATGTATTCTGTAGTGGAATACATTTTAAAAGTAACCTTCCCAACACTGACCGTGAACAATGTTGCCCTTTTATCTATCACAGGGCTAACACAGGGAGAAAGATAAACCATTCATGGTCATATTGACACCTCAGCTAACCTAACCCATGCACTGTGGGAGGAAACCGGAGTAAATCCACACAAGCTTTCACCCAAGAGAGCATGCAAACTCCACATAGAAAGGAACAGCCAGCTAGCTGAGTCACACCCAGACTGTCATATGTGTTATATGAATGTTAACATATGCACATGCAGTATTACCTTACGATAACATTTTCAACTACTGTATTTTTATGGATTTGGAAGAAATTAATTTTTTAAAAAAAAGAAAAAAAAGCCTGCGTTGGCCGGGAATCGAACCCGGGTCAACTGCTTGGAAGGCAGCTATGCTAACCACTATACCACCAACGCCTCATTCTAGGAAGGCTACTCAGATCCACTTCAATCCATACCATATAGTTCATATGAACTATATGTATATTTATATTTTATATATACTACATATTATGGATTTTCGCAGTCTGTCTACATAGTAAATATTTGGTGTTCTAGAAGTGTCTATATTTGGCTATAACATTATTTTATTCTATTTTTTCGCCGAACCAAATACATCCATACTGACACGGCTTGTTTTCACACCGTAATAAAATCGGGCTCGTTATTTTCAAGCAGCAAAATAATGTTCCCAAAGAAGGGAAAAAAGAACGTAACTGTGGCCCGTACGGGGATCGAACCCGCGACCTTGGCGTTATTAGCACCACGCTCTAACCAACTGAGCTAACCGGCCACTTGTCAAATTCTCAGTGATACGAGTCACTATATACAAATGACTAATGGACAACCAGCCCCAAAGTTTTGACTGTCTTACTTAAAAACAGGCCTTCTGATTAGGACTTATTACGGAAGAGGATTAGGGCCACTGGAAAAAAAAAGTGGGCACTCTTTCTTTCCAGAATTCTGAGAAAAAAGTCAGAATTCTGAGGTTTTTTTCTCAGAATTCTGGCTTTAATCTCAGAATTCTGAGAAAAAAAGTCAGAATTCTGAGATTAAAGTCAGAATTTTCACATTTCGAAGTTTTTCATAAGATATTACTTAGTGACCAGTGTTGGGAAGGTTACTTTTAAAATGTATTCCATTACAGAATACAGAATACATGCCCCAAAATGTATTCTGTAACGTATTCCGTTATGTTACTCAATGAGAGTAACGTATTCTGAATACTTTGGATTACTTAATATATTATCATGCTGTTTATAACTACATGAATGTACTATTGCTGTG